GGGTGTCCGTGCCTCGCCGAGGGGGCGACAGCGGGCCGGGGCCGCGCCTGGGGCGGGTTTTCCCTCAGGAGAGGAGCGTCGCCACCGGGGAGGTGGAGCGGCCGCGCAGCCGCTGTGGAGCGGGAGCCATTGCCGGGCCTGCCCGCCTCAGGCCTGCAGGCCGGCCCGCGCTTTGTAGCGGTGATAACGGTTATCGAAGCCAAGCAGGCCTGAAGTTCCAGTCGTTAATCATCTTTGTTGTTGATCTGACTTGTGTTTTCTGACTGTCTTCCGTCTAGGGAGAAGTTGTGCCTCTGCTTAAGCCTGCTGCCCGATGCTGAAAAATAGTTGAAATGGCGGCTGTAAAAAGGGCTAAATCTTTTTGTGGCCCCCATTAGACTGTTTCTGAAATAATATACCATGCAGTTGGAGATTTAGAGTTTGTTAAAATGCCTGAAATCAAAGTCACTCCCCTGGGTAAGTCCAGTCTAAAATCATTCTGAAATAGAAATGCTGGAAAACTTTGGAATTTAGAATTCAAAGTAATATGTGTTGGACTGCTGGAGGCATACGTGCCTTTCCGTGCCACAAAAACTGCTCGTGGTGGTACACTGCCGTATGTGTTACGGTTGTGCAGCATCCTGACTTGGTTACTGTCAGTATGTCGTTGTCCTCCTTTTGTCTTTCAAGCAAGTAAGACTCGATCAGAGTCAATAGACAACTCTATTTTGATTACAGGATTAATTAATACATACTGGTAAAAGCATTGTAGTATTGTGCAGTGTAGGTAGAGTATTAGTTCACTAAACAGTGCTAAAAATTCACGTGCAGGAAATTTTTCTTTTTTTTTTTTTTTTTCTTGTTTTTTAATGGGTTGCACAGAGGTGCATTTATATACTGAGAGGGCAGAGGATGTGCTGAGCAGAAAAACTGCTTTGTCCTGATGGATAGTTTTCTAGCTCGGAATGGACTTAACTAGAGCTTAATGAAGGTCCGTGCTTTCACTGAGAGGCAGAGTACTTGGGGAGGTGCAGAACCCTGGGAACTTCGAGTTCCATGCTGACCCTTTCCAGATAAACCATTGTTTTGCTCTTACTTGAAACTGTGTAGCTGCGATTGCACAGCAGCGGGCAGAGAACATCATTTTCCTGCCTCAGAAAAGGGCTAGGAAGTTTGTACGGACCTTTAAATGCTTCTCTTTTGAAGTGATTATGAATATTCCCAGAGATGTCTTACTTGTCTTTCTTTTGCTTGGGTCCAGGAGCTGGCCAGGATGTGGGGCGCAGCTGTATCCTCGTGTCTATTGCCGGGAAAAACGTAATGCTTGACTGCGGGATGCACATGGGCTACAACGATGACGTGAGTATAGCGGAGAAGCCTGAATGTTGTGTAGAGATGCTTTCAAGGTGCATCTGCTGGCGTTTCCCAGCAAGGCTCCTGGTTCATTGTTCCGCTCTGTTCCCTTTTATTTGAACGTTGCCTGACTTATCCGACATGACACATGGGTAATACTAGCTGGGTGCGCGTTATTGGGCATATGTATCAGCTGCTGCTGGAGCTGGATTACGGCAGAGAACGAGCTACTACTGCCCCTTCAAAACCTTGCCTTCCTGTGCAAGGGGTACATCCCCTCAGGTATTCCTGATATATGAAGTGCCACCATCCAGCCATCCTTTCCCTGGGTTGTGGACTCCAAAAAAATATTAAGCAAGCTGTGAGTGCTCCATTCCTGGTGGTCTTGGTCTTTTTGTATTTCACGTGGGCAGGCATCTTCTATGCTTTAAAGCATTAATCCCATCATTAGCTAGACTCCTCTTGACATGATGCTTGGTTTTGGGCAGTTAATTATTTGTGGCATCCGCACCATGCATCTCTCATGCTTGAGAGAGAGATAGGAAATGCTCCTGATGTTCGGTCACCTCATACTAGTAGGAAAGGAATAACGGCAAAAACACTCTGTAAGATAGGAAGAGTTACAGAATGACACAGAGCAAATGTGCTATTACAGGAAAGGTTTTGATGCTTTCTGCCTTAATGCCTGTGGGTAAGCTAAAACGCATCTGTCACCTGTTTTACTTTGAAGATAAACTTGGCTGGAATTTATTTATTGGCAAGGTCAGTTTCCCTGTTTGTCCTCTGGCAGCCCTCCCGTCCTTTTTCTCTTTGACTCTTTCTGCACTTAAATGCTGATGGTGTTGCCCGCAGCTCTTACCGCATTGCTGACACTAGTGCGGTCTGCTGGTTATTGCAGTTTTGCCTCAAGGTGGATTACAGCAGGTTTCCAGCGTTTCGGGTCATTCACACCATTGTTTTGTTGGATTAGTAATGTAGTATTAACTGGTTTTCTTTTGTACTGGATCGCCTGCTTTTTCATGTCTTTGCAGAGACGCTTTCCTGACTTTTCTTACATCACTCAGAATGGAAGGCTGACTGACTTTCTAGACTGCGTGATCATCAGGTGAGAAAGCTTCCTTCCTTGTCAGAGCTCAGATGGGAAACGAGAAAGCTTTGTGTGCTGTCTCTAGCAACCCAAACATGTTGTAAGTCCATCGTTCATATTTTGGCTAGTTCCTCTATGTCACGCAGTGCTTTAAAAATCTGAAACAAGACCTGGGAACCAGGCAAGCTGAACTCCTGTGCGGCATCTCCTTTATCCTCTGTGTCTTGTTGCAGCCACTTTCATTTGGACCATTGCGGAGCTTTACCCTATTTCAGTGAAATGGTCGGTTACGATGGGCCCATTTACATGACACATCCTACCAAGGCCATCTGTCCGATCCTCCTGGAGGACTATAGGAAAATAACTGTGGATAAGAAAGGGGAAACGAACTTCTTCACTTCCCAAATGATTAAAGACTGTATGAAAAAAGTGGTTGCCGTGCATCTTCACCAGACAGTTCAGGTAAATGGTAATGTCTGCATACTCTTGGATCAGACCAACTGGAGTGTTGTAGAAGGCAATTTATTTTTTTAAATGCGTGCACTAATGCAGTGTTTGCCTGTTCGTGCAGGTGGATGAGGAGCTGGAGATCAAGGCGTACTATGCAGGCCATGTGCTGGGGGCAGCCATGTTCCAGATTAAGGCTGGCTGCGAGTCAGTTGTGTACACTGTAAGTATGTGCAACAATAGCTATAGATACCTGCTGCTGCTTTTAATGGCCTGTCCCGGAACGTTGAGAATATTAATGGATTTATTTTCTTCCATTAGGGTGATTATAACATGACACCAGACAGACATTTAGGGTAAGTAGGAGGCTGAGTTTCTATGAATTGTAGATATTTCTGACGGGAAGATTTTAGCACAGTTTCCGTTAATACTTGGGGCTTATCAGTATTGATTCTTTGTTAGGAGACTGGAACATTTAACGATGTCTTTGCTGGAAAGATAAATGCCATTTTGAATTATGAGAATGAACAGATTTACATTGATTCTTCCAGATAGACTGTAATGTAATCTTCTTCTGTATACTCATATTAATCTATTTTTAAGGCTACGTAATAATTGGACTTAGATATCTTTTTGAAATGTTTTATTGTCATGATATCTTCTCAATGTGTTTACTTTCGAAGAGAGTGCCAATCACAAACTCAAATGTTCATTTTATTTTTACTGGCATATATGAGAGATTTATCATGTTCATGCTATTTAGAATAATATTTTAATGCATTTAAAACAAGTAATAGACTGGAGAAGATCTGCTCTTCAAAATCAGTAGTCTCTGTTCTGGGCTGGATTAATTTAAAGAAAGCATGGCCTGTAGAGAGAGGAGTCCTGATGCTGCCACAGAACTCCTAGGTGACTTTGGGCAAGCCGGTGCACATCTGCGTACCTGTTTTCCGATCTGCAAGTGGAGACAGTGACATTCTCCACCCTTCTTTGAGACTTGCAGATCAGAAATGCCAGATACCATCTCTTAATTCGATTGTTTGTTTGTTTTTCAAATTCCTTTTGGTTTAGTGCTGCCTGGATTGATAAGTGTCGCCCAGATTTATTAATAAGTGAATCTACCTATGCCACAACGATCAGAGATTCCAAACGCTGCAGAGAAAGAGACTTCTTGAAGAAAGTTCATGAGACTGTAGAAAGAGGAGGGAAGGTACGGCGTTTTGATAATCTAAGTGATGTGGTTTGATGTGGTTTTTCCTCTGTGAGGCTCTTGTTGGCTCTGTAGTGCTATGTAGCTATTAACTAACTCAGACACCTATGCATGACCACTACATGAAACCGAAGGCATTTTTATATTCCTCCATCTGTACTTTAAAAGACAGAATATTAAACACTTAAATTATGCCAAGAAGAAAACCAGACTATGAGTTAATGAGGCAGTAAGGGAAATGCTATGCTTACAGTCTGCAAATACGGAGGATAAAGGCAAAATTAACTTGATTTGCATCTTGTATACTGACGCATCCTCTTAATCCTGTAAATTAAGACTGAGACTGTTCAATTACTGCTTTTAAACTTGATCAGAAATGATTTCCAGTGTAGCCAGGTTTCTCTGTTCAGTATCCTACTTTGTGCTGTCTGTTACCATAAAACCCCGCCAAGTGCATGGCAGACGTGCTTACCAGACAGTAAATGATGCTTCAGTACCTTGTTTGTGGCTTTCACTTGCCCGGCTGTTTTGCTTGGGTAAGCCTGTTCCAGTCCAGTGTGATTTGATGTGAACAACTTCAGCTAGCCACAAAGCATGTGGAACATAGGATGGTGGCATCGTAACGTGGCCATTAGTTGTATCTGTCCGTTACTGTCTTAGGATCTCAGTCAGTCTTGTCTGCTTGTTGGAGGTTAGCCCCTATCTTTGCTAATGTAAAACTTTGAGATTCTCTTTTTCATTAACACCACATTTAGAGCACGCCTAGGAAAAGACATTATAAAAAGAGACATTTTAACCCCTCAGAAAATGGAAGCAGAAGTGGTAATTGGGAACACAGGAAAGTTTTACTGATTTCACTGTAGCTAAGGATCTGGTTCTAGGTTCCTAGGACTTAGTTCATTTAACTTGATGAAATGGGAAATTAGCCTGGCTGTTGATTGTACGTGTAGAACTTGAGCTGCATTTTGGTTAAAAGGTATAGTAGTTTGTCACTTGTAACCTGAAGCTCTGTATTTTATTTATTGTTCTTGTCTTAGTAGGGGCAAAACGTAGG